TCAAGAGTGGTTAAATCTCAGGGGAAAAGGGTTCATATTTAAAACATCACATGAGAGGTTAATGTACAGTAATATCATCTGGGACAAGCTAGAAAAAGCCTTGGTTTTGAGGTATAGCTAAAAAGCTTGGAGACTGTGTCTCATAGCTGCATGCGGTTCAGAAAGCTGGAAAAGCACATAGCTTTAACAATGACTCATTGAAAAGTTTGCTACTTAAATGCAATCAAGTCAAAGAATGCACAATCAGGCACTTAACATTAGCACACACTCACTCACTCTGTTAGGTTACATGCACACGCTCACTCACACCATGTAAACATCCTCAACAGACAGCATGAACAGCACTATATCTGTATGAACAAATGGGGGGTGAGGGGATGCAATAATGACTCATGAAAAGGAGTGTATCTGCTCGTCGACGCCTGCTTCCTGATCTCTGTGCCTGGTTCTGGTTCAGGCCGTGGCACGTGTGGCTCATACCAGTGCGATTCAACTGCAGACATCATTTTAATCAATCTCCCCTTTGTCTCAGCCAGGCTCTCAAACATGTGTGCGCCAAAATCTACATTTAACACAAAAGCATATGGCCCATTCACTTTCAAATAAACATTGCTTCATGGCTTGACATTCCAAACGTATAGATTTGTAAGTTAAGACTGTATTGAATATGGAAGTTTTCCAGAACAGCGGGAGACTGTTGATGAGGGTAAATGATCCCGATCGTAAACACAGACCACTGCCCCATCTGCCTACCAGGGAGATAAATGAGCCAGAATGACATTTGGCACCAGTTAGGCCAACCTCTGATACAGTAGCAGAACCAGTAAGCGGCACATTACTGAATAGTAGCTTATTTTAAATAACACACCTTACAGTTTCAAAGTTTATACAGCATAATAATGTCTCCCACAACTATGCAGAAACCTATTTACAGCGCACCACCCAATATTTAAACCATGTTTTGAATCACAGGAGTATTTTAGTGTAGTAGTAGTATTTTGTGAGATACCCACAGCAAACCTATGTTGATTTTGTAGGCTCAACCACGCAGCAGCCTCAGGAGTTGAAAAATTAAGCGGACATTGATGTGCCAAAAACAGTTGCTCTTGCGGCCACTTGAGGCTGACTCCAAAAGTGTATCATTCCCAGTAGACATCCATGCTAACGAGCCCAGATTTACAGCAGAAATTAACATGTTTTTAGGCTGTTACAGAACATCTCTGTAGCTTTATAGGCAATTTCCTCCATAAAACCATGTCTGGTGTCTGTGCTGCTGAATGATCACGATGCTCACTTAATGTATGGGGCATTAAAAATGTATTAAAGCTTAAAGATATGGCTAACGTTTGATCTTGCTCAGCATTCAGTTTTAGCAAATGAATGGATTTTAATTATAGGGTGGGAGTACCTCAGGAGGTAGATCACTGGCTTCGTGCCAAATATCCTTGGACAAGGTACTAACTCCAATTCCAAATTGCTCTCTAATGAATGTATCTGAATGTTAGACAGAAAACACTTAAGCATAAAAAGGTGCTTGAATGAATAAAGGTTGAGAATAGGTTGTTTGAGCACTCTGGTAGAGTAGAAAAGCACTTTATATAAACTAGGCAGTTTTCACTTCTCACTGTCCAGGGTTAATGTGGTGAAGGTGCATATTTAACTTTGTGGCTTGTTGAAAGGGCACTTTTACCTCTCAGTATCAAGCATTACTGCAGCTGCGGCCCGAGGCTTGGCTTCTTGAAAAGGTCTAAGAACTTAATGTCATGGATTGGAAACGAAAATCAATTTTAACTTTGTTCCGATGAGACCAAATCTATAGTAACAACACTGCAGACATTGATCTGAAAGTTGGAGGATTTCTTTGTCTGAGAGCAATTAAGTTTATCCTCGAAATCTGTAGTCTCTCAGCATTTCAGCCTGATTCTGAAACAGCACATGCATCAAACATAGCACAAAGCAGGCCAAAATAAATGTTGAGAGAACAATAGATACTTAAAGCAATTGAAGGGGAGTATAGCAATTATCTTTTATCACACTTGGTATCCCTAAATAGTTTTGCTGTAAGCAAAGGAGGCCTCTGTTTATTATCCGCGGCACGGAATAGAAAAGCACCACTTGAGAGTTTATTATTTGGGTTAGCTGCATTTTTCACTGTTTATTATGCGTTTTTAATTGCGGTCTGGCTGCGTTCGCTTGAAGAGTGCAAGAGCAAAAGGAGAGCGGGAGAGAGGAATGTCGGAGACAGCAACTTCTCTGCAGGACGTGAGGCTACACCGGGAGTCCCACGAACCTGCCTTACCCCCGGATTGGATTTCAGCAGTGACACGAGGAGGAAAAGGGAAAGGGATATTCAAGTGTTGTGAAATGATCTATGTGCAGTTTAGCCACTGGTTTATTTTTTTTGTTTAGTTTGCTCCAGCTCACAGTAATTAACTGGTCCTCACATCTGGGAGCAGAAGAATCCAGACTGAGTGACTGACCTTTTAAACACCCAGCAGGTGCCAAACCACCTGTGCTGTCCTCCCCGCTGGGACAACAGTCTCCTATACATCTTCCATGACTATTCATTTATCTTTCTGGCTGCTTTGGACTGAGCACATACTGCCTGACTTGTTCCTCCCCCGTGTTTTTGTAAAAAATGAGCCTCCACCTTGCTCTCTGTAAGACCCTCCTTGCATCTGGTGTTCAGCCATGCCAAACCTTCTTCCAGCAACCAAGAGTTCAAAATGCTTTCTGAGTCAAAAACAAAGCTGTTTACTTTTGACTTGGTGTTCCTGTTACTTGACTTACTCTTTTGACCAAAACCTTCCATGTTGTTATTCTTTGGAACAAAATCCTATTTTTAATGTATTACTGGCAAACACCTTGGTCCTGTGCACTCCCAGTGAACCTATATTAAATGCATTGTTTCAGACAGGGCTGCTCTTTGTAAAGTCAGTGTCATAACTGCTCAAGCACTTGAGTACTGCAGAGAATGTCCCCCAATTCCAGGCATATTTGTAAAGAGCAGCGATACACAGAGACTAAAGGTAAAAGTAGGACACTGGACACTTTTTAGCACAGCTTTTTCACATATTGTTGGGAGACTGTGACTGATCTACTCTGGTTCATATACGCTAACATAAATGACACACAGGGCGTACTTGTGCCAGTGTAAGCAGGAAACAGATGGTTGCTTGCTAATAGAAAATACAACAGAGTAAGGATGGCAAAAGCAAAAAGAGGTTTTTTTTGCTTGGAACTAGGTAACACAAGGATGTAAGGCAGTTATAGTAGGGGAAAACATAGCTTGGAAGCTGTTACAGACAAAATATGGCAGCATATTAGAGGAGCACCCACAGAAAAATGGTAAAAAAAATGCTATGTGAGCCCAGCTTTAATGACCCTTCAGGACTCGATTAGGCCATGAACACAGGTGTCCAATTGCAGCACATGTGAATATTATACAGATAAGCACTCATCAAAGATCAAGTCCTGAGCTGGTTTAGGAATTAATGTACTTCAGATAGCGCGCTTGAAACTCCCCATTTATGGTCCTCCCTGTAGTGAAAAACTCTTTCACTAAGCAAAACAAATCTAATCTAATCCACACGTAGAAAGAGACTCAGTCATTCAAGGCGGACTGATTTTCAGCATGGCCACCTAAGACCTTTTTAGGTGGTTGTTTGGAAACAATAACGAGAAAAGAGTTGAATAAATAATGTGACCAAAGATACGAACGACAGCAATGTCAGCTTTTTTGCTGTCATTAGTTTGGGCTTTTTTTCTTAAAGATGGCTATCACATTTAACAACTCAGAGGTTGCAGAGCAGAGACAGTCTGGACCTGGACCACAGACTGGTTCATTTATTTGGAATGAAGCAATAAGCAAAAGGAAAAAACATGAAACCATAAAAGGGAAAGAAATAGAGAAGAAGAAATGAGAATGAAAGATGAGGAAATTGAACTTTGAAGAGTGTGTTTCTGGGCCAAAACTAAGAAAAATCTAGAAAAAGGGAACAAAATAAAACTACACCTGCTTTAGACTTACACTGCGAGGCTTCAGTCACTATCTGAGTGCAGAAACCTTGCTGATGGACAGCCTCAGCTGCTCTGTGCTGCCTAATCCACATCGAGAGGTACTGAAAGGTGATCAAACGTATCTTTCGGCTCCTGCACACTATCCCTCTATTGCAAAAAGGTTACGGCACCACTCATAGCTCAGGAGTATGAGTGATCCACTATCCCTTCCATGGATACACGCAAACATGCAGACAGACACACACACAAAAATTAAACCTCCCCATCCAACCAAAAGAGAATGCAAGAATCCCCAAAATAATCTGTGTCCAAAGAAATAAATGAATAAAACAGGAGAATCAAAACCAGAGGCAGCAACAATGCCCACACGCCCACAGCACAGAGTGGTATGATTAAAGTTTAACTAGGAACAGATACAGGGTAGTTCTGACAGGCGGTGCCACCTCCTCCCTTTGGTAGACACACAGGAAGACAATGAATAGACAAGGTGGAAATTTAAGGCCTGGGGCATATTGGATTATATAGAAGAAAAGGTTTCAAACTCCATCAAACAAGACTAAACAACTAAATAAATCCTCTAGCATAGTTGCTAAAGATCCCAAGTGAGTCCTATTCCACTCTGTTATAATGTACAGACTTAGCATCAGTTTAACTTCATTACACCAGAAGATAATCATTACAATTAAGTTGATGAGTATTTTTTTTCTTACCTTCAAAGGAAAGGAAGACTCTTGGCAGAGGCTGCGGGAGGCTGGAGACCCCGGTGCAGAGGAAAGAGAGAGCCAGGAGGGAAAACGCCATGGCTGACACCAGAGGTGGCCTGGCCAACCCCTCCGGCCTGCCCATAACTGCACCACTCAGGAACCAAAGCCAGTCACCACTGCTGCTGGAGAGAGGTTTTGGAGAGAAAATAGTGAATTCTGAGAACATGTTTCCTCATACTTCTTCAAGTTAACGGCATTCATGTGCCACCACAGGAATTGTAACAAAAATGGCTTATGTACCACAAAAATACCTAATATATGCCTCAAATGATGTCCTGGTTCAATATAGAGTTAGCATTTTTTTACATGCTATTTTAAGTAGGATTTACCAGGGCAATCATAGTGTATATTTAAATATAATGATTAGGAATAAAACACTTTTCATTGTGGTAACTGGGGGGAGGCTTCTGAAGAACATTGTAATTAACCTTTGATGTAGCAAGTTAAAGGTTAGCAAGTTATCCACAAGGTCATATGCAATAAAGATTTACAAAACTATGTGCACTTTCGGCTAACTTTGTGGAAGTGGAAACCACCATGCAAGAACCAGGAAAATTCTTAAGAATTAATAAAAGAAGTGTAATCAAAAAAATCCATAGAAAATATAAATCATTTGGCTTTTTTGCAACACATGGAAAGAAATGTTGCTAGAAGGTTACTAGAAAGTTAGTACTACTTAAGAAATTGACTGAAACCACTGGTGGACATGTTCATCAATACAGTAGCTGTGGATGACTGTTGCTCCAGTGGTAAAGCTAGATGGTCAGTGCTGAAGTATCCTTGGACAAGATACTGAACCTTAAGTTGCCCCTGATGCATTAATTGGAGTACAAGTGTGTTTCTGAATGTTAGAAAGCACTTATGAATGTGTTGCATGATTATCTGTATGATTTTGGTGAATGGGAGTTTCAATTTAAATTTCAAAATGGAACAGATTTGATGTATAGGTTACATAGCAGTGCAGCATCAAACTTTGTGACAACCAGTGAAGCCATTAAATTGAATTTAGTCAATTTAATGGCTCTTAATTTTCAGCTAAATGCAGTCCAATTACAGTGACTATATATGACATATGAAGACTGGTTAATTGGTACCACCCAGTCATGGGATCAAGATTTGAAATGTGATTTTTCTTTTAAAATCTAACTTTGCAGGATGACAACACCCTACAGAATACAGCACACTGCTAGTTTCAACAGCTAATGCATCAGTTTCACTGATCTAGAAATGCTGAGTTACAGAGAGAAGCACTGAACAAACAACACTGAATAAAGAAAGAGATAAAAAACAACAACATGTCAGTTAAATCCCATCATTGCTTTATCCTCGCAAATGTACGGCTCTTAAATATGGATGAGTGAAATCTGCACAAAAGAGCTGCTGGAGAAACTCTCGCCGCAGCCTCTTCTCATTCCTTTTCCATAACGGGACAAGAGCAGCTCAATTATTGATAGAGGCAGGTACTGTACTGCCTGTGGGGCGCTAACTCCTGCAATGAAACACTCCGCTGCTGGAGAACGGCCGGGCTGTTTTTAACCACTCATTTGGCCGCTCCATCACCTGTGCTGTGCAAAACCACATCGCACTAGACATAAAACAAAAATGACCCTTTCACATGCAAAAACAAAATAAAAATTTCACAGACTAAATCTCTGATGTCATGCCTTATGGATGTGCGATAAAAAATTGATGGCCAAGAGATAAGAAAGCTGCAAGTTCGCTATGAAAATTTCAGTTTGGGGGTGTGGTGTACAAATAGGTTAAAATATACCTGTGAGGTGGAGTGCAGCATGACTGATATACAGCTTAAGTGGAATTCTGGTGTTCAGGTGCATAAGGATAACATATGGAGGACTGCTGGGGGATGAGATGTCTTTGGCTGCACTTGAGAGAAATAAACCAGCACGGGGCATTACCAGACGGCCCCAGCTGCTGCAACTGCAGCCCTTCTCCTGCTGCATCATCCACACAGCCTCACACATGCACGCACACCCTCCCCTTCAAGCTCAGGCATTCACACAACTTGGCTTCTGTCCCCAAAAGATCTGGTCCCTGAAAAAACTGGTCACCTGGTTTGTACATAAAGATCGATGTGCTCCAATTCTGAAATATTGCACAGTGAGATTTCCACCTTCGTCATAATACAATTACAGCAGTTTTTGCAAATCCTCCAAGTCTTAGAATATCGAGTATAAAACGAAACAGTTAATGCATCTTTGTGCTAAAAGCAGAACATTGGTAAAATTACTTAAGTCTAAAGACTCAAGACTTTGCAGCACCCTGTCTTTTTCATTTATAGCTTCTAGACTTCATCAGGTCAAATATCAAACTTGAATATTTTTTACAGCGTTCCAGCTTTAGGTAAGTTTTCCTTTAGGGATGACTTGAATGTTTGTAAGTATACAGATGGTGCAAAAATGGTGCAAAAATATTTTGTACCAAACCTTGTCCATGTGCCATCTTTCATAAAAAAAAAGCATACTACAGTTAATATTTTAGAAAGCAAGATCCTTCAAAATAAAATTTAGAGACAACCCTAATTTTTTAAGTGAGAACTACATTTTCCCATATTTTTAGGTGGACTGACCTTTTGAGCTGCCAAGCTTCCACACCTACCACTCCCTGCTCCCTATCAGAGAGTTGGTGATCTCCCCACGGAAAGCTTCTGGTATGGAAATGTTGGTCTCACAGCTGCTAAACTCATCCTCAAGGGAGTCTCATGCGCATACTGTGATATCCCCAAGAGGTTGTGTTCCGACACTTTGCTATGCCACACTAAATACATGAATGAGCTCACTCTCCCTCACACTCGTGGAGCACTGTAACGCTCCCCTAGATGAAAGGGTTTCACAGTAAAGGATGTTTTCCTATTTGTTGCCATGAACAAAAATAATAAATTCTGCAATTAATTTCTCTGAGCTCTTCGGCCGAGAAATTCCAGGGCATCAGTGTGCCAGGAAATCTCTGTAACACCAATTAAATGTCTTCCCACAAAGCAGGTCAGTGAAGTGAGCGAATAGTTATATTTCCAGCGAGGTGTAACGATAATTGTGTTTGTTGTGCTCATTGCTTGGCTGGCAGCCTAATGAATTTTCCATCTTGCCATTTTGGAAGCTCAAAAACTAATATTGATGAAAGTGGAAAACTGCATGGATTATCGCTCCCATCTGCTCCTATTAATGCTTTAAACACATGAACCCAAATCAGCTACGAGACGAGTGGGGACGAGTCCTCCCGGTTGGAATCAATTTGGCATTTTGATCAATACAGGAAGAATTAAAATCACAATGATAAACAAGTTTTGTCCTAGCAGGACGGTGTGCGTTCATACCACACCCTGTCATTCGGTTGTCAGCAGCTCTATTACAGCCACACATTCCCCTGCACACATGACCAGCAGGCACAGCTAAAAGTGTATATTTCAACTCTTAAACTCCACACAAGCACATTGACTAAGATTAATCTTCTGATTTCGAACCATGTGACTGACCACAACTTTTTTTTTTAAAGCTCTAAATAAAGAATCTATATAGTTATAGACAGATGCTGGTGGAGACTTTAAACCAAAGATTTAAGCCTTTTTAGCTGAACGAGGAAATAAAAAATGTTCATAAAGTCATGTTTTCCATTTTACTGGCTGCAGCGTAATAACCAGTCACAGTGTATTTAAAAGGAATTGTTCACCAAGCACATGAGTGGAAAATAAAGCATGACACAGAAGTCTGATGTAATACCACACATGATCTCAGAGAAGCACCAAGTCATCTGGCAGACTCTTCCACAGTCAGATTGAGTTTACTTGCAGCTTTTTTTTTTTTTAAAACTAATTCTCACTGGTGGGACTCTGCACCTGTTAGCCTGCTGCCTACCAACTCCTCTCTGCATCCACTGTGAGATCCACTCCACTGCATAAAAAGTACAGTGTGGTACAGGCAGTACAGGCAGGTAAACCTTCTACCTTTAGAAAAATGAACACATCAGACCTTTGCCAGTGACTCACCTCTCAGGAGCTTCCTCCGATGCTGGTCCAAGTTTCGGAAGGCAGGATCGTATTTCTCGCCTGTTTCTAGTATCCTGTAATAACACCAAAGAAGAAAAATGCTGCTATTCCATCTAAGTGCTCAGAGAGCAGACTTGACTGAGAGAGCACAGGAGAGAGGAGAGGAGAGGAGAGAGGGAGGAGGACGAAAAGACAGAGAGAGCGGGTGTCCTATTACACACTCTTCACTGAAGTGCCCCCTCCTCCTCCTCCTCTTCCTCCTCCCCACCCCTCCTTTCCACGATCGTCCTCCCTCTCTCCGTTAACTAGACAGCAAACAGATCACATGCGCAGCTTAAAACATCAGAGAGGCAGAGGACGTTTACCTCACCACAGTAAGAGGGTGAAGCCCGAAAAGGTCAGGCACACTCGCATCACAAACAGATTGCATTGCTTTTAATCTGTGGGTGATCCACTAGTTAGATTGCCTCCAGTGATACCAACGAAATCAGATGTTTTCTGCTCATTTCCACTTTTATGGGCCTTTTTTGTTTCCCACTGGGAAACAAACTATTTTAATTACTGGGTACTTGAAACTTTGCAAGTCAAATAATCGTCAGATAAGGAGCATTTTCTCTCTGAAGACGGTTCAAATATGAACTACAGTCATGCTCACCACTATGCATGACATCACTAAACTCAGGTGATGTCTGTGTAGTCAGCTGTTATGTTAAATATGACCCACATTGCCCAATAAGTATAGCAATAGTATTGATGATCTCTTTTAGTACTTTCCTGAAAGTGATGGGAACATATTGAGTTTGCAGATCATGAACAAAATTATGATCATGAACGAAAGAAACTGTGGGATTTTTAGAAAGATCTCAACATCAATAAAGATTTCACTTTGTTTTTACTAAATTGAAGGGGTTTTCATCTAAAATCTGGACATCAGGGGATCACCTATAAGCCAATATAAGTGCCATGCTCCAGAAGAGCATTGCCACCCTCTGAGCAAACTGACTATCTTGGATGAAAAAGAAAGAATATTACTTTGTTTTTTTTCCATTAAAGTCTTTAAAAAGACAAAGAGCAGTATAAAAGTGATATTTTTCTCTTACCCTTGTTATTTATCCGGTACACAAATATGATTCACAACAGGCAGGAAAACAGAACCACTCTAAAGTGTGCAGATGACTCTTGTTATTGTTAGTCTAGCTCCAGGATAATGAGACCAGCCACGGCCTGTCATTGATTACTGTGTTAAATATCACGATCTTCAGTTAAACATATATGACAAGAGATATGATCACTGATTCTTAGAAAATATACTCATACACAAGATTAAATCATTAATGGAAAGATGTTAGGGGAATGTTCTCACATTTATAAATCTCTTAACTGCAGCTGTGCATAAAAAAAGGCACCAATGTCTGTTGAGTTTGAGGAAACTTTCCAAAATCCACATTGATAATTTTATTTTGAGTCTGTTTTATTCTCTTCCTTGGTTCCATGGTTTGGATACATATCTGTAAAGAACAAAAACAGATTAAATTAACTTGTTAAATGGTTAAAAGAAGCCACAGCTGAGCCCAGCGTCCCCGAGCACCAGACAGTCACAGCGGTAGGCTGGCTCTATTATATTTGATCACTCGCACTTTCACACTGAGCTCCAGTTTCCAGCCTTTCAGTCCCAAAGTGCAGAACAACAAGGTTTAAAAACAGCTTTGTTCCAGATTCTCCGTTATTATTTATTAATTTTTATTCCTCACTATGTTGCGTATGCTTGTCTGTTGTCTGTGCTTGTGTTGCAAAAAGTGCACGTCGGGATGAATGACTCATTTTACTGCAGACCAGATGTACCAGCGGGTGCAAATAAAGTAACCTGAACCTGAACTTGAATGTGTAGCGATTCTGATAAATTGAAAAAAAATCACTGTTAACACACAGTTACTTTAAATGAGCTCAGTGAGGAAAGCTTGGCCAGCATGGGAAGTTTATAAAGCTATATTGTGTAAGTAAACCCTGCCAAACTTGCTTCAACGTAATTATTTATTCCAATACAGATTTTGCAGCTTCAACACGAGGCGTCAGGAAGTCTTGGCCCTAAACCCGAGCGCTACAGTATGTAATATCAGGTACCACTCACAGCAAGCCTTTGATTTAACCTTGTTTCCACACTAAGCTGCAGAGAGATACCATGCAATTTGGATTTTTGTAAAATTCATGTGAAAAGGTGTTTTTTTTTCTTACCCCTTAGCTGGGTGTCACATGTCACTTCATTGCAGGTATATGAGGCAGGATGTTAAGGATTTTCCACTTTAGCGCAGGGGTTTCATGGAAATATTTGAGCAGATTGCTAAAAATCAGAGCACAGGAAAGACAGAAAATAAAAGGTGGTGTGTGAGCCAGCTCTCTGATGAATACATCTGATGGTAAGAAAACGTAAAACAGGGGGAGGAAAGAGAGGATCACTGGTGGCTCAGACAGGAGGAAATAATTACCCCTCTCCTTGACAATGGAGCCAGATTTACGCCTCTCCAATTAAAGTGTCAGGATGGCCCGCTAGAGGGGTGCAGGTTTTTCATTGGTGCATGAAGACTATATTGCAAGGTCCTCATAGGTGGAGAAGGAGAAGAATAGAAAGAGGTGGGTGAGAGCAAAATTGAGATGAGGCGTATCTTTTACGGTCCCCATGACAGAGCCGCAGCAGTAAATTAACTTGATGAGAGTGGAGAGCCAAAGTGAGGGTGACAAATGGCAGACAGGTGTGCTGTCTGACATGACATATGATTATAGAGGACTTTGTCTTACAGTAAGTGATTGTAAAAGAGATGAATTTGGTCCAATGTTTTTATCTTTTATTCCCAAATATTATGATAACTGTCTTGAGTCTGGCCACTTAGCGTCCAGTCAGAGTCTCTGTTACACAGACTGTATCTGACAAGCGCTGTGCTGTGTTTCTGTGCGTGAAATGGTCTTCTCACTTAATCTCTCGGCCATGCACACATGTGCCTTTGAAAAAAACCTGCCCCTCGTTAGCGGTGCAGATGTTATGCATTTGTCATGCTGATGTTAAAAGCACAGACCAAGGTTAGGGGAGGACCTCCTATGGTGTTCGCCTTATCACATGCACATTTAAACACTTGCCAACTCACATGGTCGGCACTAACACAATAATATACTGTCAGCACCAGTGTTATATTTGATTCTTTTAGCTTCTTCTTCTTTTTTTCCTTTTACAGTTTTGTATTCGATGACTTTAAAAAACACAGTTAACCAAACACAGTAAAGCCCGCATATATTGAGCTATTTGTTTTTTTATGTTACTCTCAAATGTTTCCGATCTTCAGTAGATTTTAATATCACACAAAGATAATCGAAGTAAAAAGTAAAAATTCAGTTTTCAAATGATGATTTAATTCATTACGGGGAAAAAAGCCATCCAAACCTATCAAGCCAAAATAAAGTAATTAGTATTCAACCATGTATTAACTGTGATTAATCAAATGTGTTGGAAAGCTGAATTTAGTTTGACCAGCCTGGTTACTCCTACTACTACTCCAAGAGCCCATTGATGACTCATCCAGGAGGGGAAAAAAGAAACTAGAACAACATCTAAAGGACTGCAGGCCTCGCTTGTTTCATTTAAGGTCAGGGCTCATGATTCAGCAATAAGAAAGAGAGATCACAAAGACTTGTCTCGTATTTGACACAAAAACATCCTGATGATCCCAGAGACTACTGGGAAAATATTCAGTGGAATGACGATTGCACGAGCAGCCATAGTTGATGGAAGCATGAATTCTGCTCTCTACCATATAATCCTGAAGGAGAATGTTTGGACATGGATTTGCCTCCTGAAGGTCAAGCAGAGTTGGATTATGTAGCAGGACAATTATCCAAAACGGACCAGCAAGTCCACCTCCGAATGACTTAAAACACGAAGCTAAGCAAAGGTTTTTGACTGGCCTACACAAGGTCTCAGATTGAGATGCTTTAGCAGGCCCGTTATTCTCCAATGTAAAACTATTCTGCAAAAACAAGTGGACAGAAATTCTTCCAAAGCGATGTAAAAGGCTGAAAAAACAAAAACAAAAAAAACAGCGCATATTTTTTGTGCCTTAACTTCTAAATTCTTAGGTTAATTTTAAGTTAATAATTACAGTTGGAATCACATTATATTTTATTGTTTGTATTTGCTTATAATTTCCTCCTGGATTGTTCTTTTATTCTGTTTCTGGGAAGCTGATTTAGAGAAGTTCATTACTAATCTAAAGTAAAAAGAAAAAATAAACACAAATTACACAAATTACAACATAAAGTTCTAACTGTGAACATGGCAGATTTTCCTGCTTGATAAAATTACCTTTAAGACATATCTGGGACATCTAAAGACCTACTTTTTCACAAACTTTATGAATATTCTAATTATTTCTATTTCAAAGCTGCTGGGCACAAGAACTCTTCACACAAAAAGTCCTTTCTTAGTGCTGACAGTATCTCAGTGTCTATTCGGACATTTTGTCCAACATTCTTCAAATGCTGTCTGAGAACTTGTAATGAAAGTTCCTATTAAACTTGCATTAGCACAGCAATACCGTGCACTGCTTTTGAACCTCCAACTGATCAGTTGGCCGTGCCACACGCATTTTTTTCTGCATAAGTCAAACCAGATTATTTTTCTCCATCAGGGCAGCTGCTCTGAGTTTACATATGTTCCTTCCATCTGTGGGGCTGTGGCATACTTACGGCCGACACTTCTGTGAAAGTGAGGGAAAACAAAAGGCAGAGATGTGAATAATGGCACACTAATTAGCTGCTAAGCACCAAAGGGCAGATCTGATAAATGCTAAACAGGACTATGCAGAGTCCTTCACGTTCAACAGCTCACTTTGAGAGATTAATCGAGAAGTTTAGTCACCCCTGCAAAAAGAGATGAGGAATTCTACCAGAGTCACGCTCTGTGTCAAAACATCTGGAGAGAAATCTCACAGTGCCTCTTTCTCAGCATCTGAAGTCATCAACTGGAATACACATATTACAGTACAGTGGTGTAAAGGGAGTCTCGAGTATGACTTTCTCTGTGAGAGGGTAATTTTTAACAGAAAGGTGTCCGCCGTGCATGAGCTCACATTGCAAATTAAACATAATATCCAGCACAGACTGACACAGAAAAGAGGGAACAAGAAAAGAGGAAAACGGCGAGGACAGACAGAAACACTGGTGATGAGCTAAAGAAAGGAAACAATTAGTGAGCTCATTA